TCTCTCTCTCTCTCTCTCTCTCTCTCTCTCTCTCTCTCTTTCTACCTCTCAGCATAGGCAACGCGACGGCTTCGGCGTGCAACGGGAGTGCCTACCCTCCAGGCGCTCCGAGGCTCCGCCAGGCTCCGCCAGGCTCCGAGCACTCCGAGCCGGGCCGGCAGCATCACAATCCCATTCCGTCTCCTTTCGTTCGTTCGTTCGCTCCGCCCGAAACTTACACATTCCTGTCTCGCAGCCCGGGGCCTGCGGGGGCCGGGGGGTCGGGGTGGTTGTTGGGGCTCGGTGGGGGTGGGGGGTGTATCCGCGTGCACAGTCTCCTTTCCTCCCTGCCATCGCGAAGAGCCGCACCGAATCGAACCGAAGCCGGAGCGGGCGAGAGAGGGGCTCCGTTCGGGGCTAAGCCCCACCCATCGAGGGCCCCCAGGCCGCGCCGCCCGCGCAGCCCGCCCAGGCCCCGGAGGCGGCCGAGCGATCGCCGATTGGTTCCATCGGCCGATCGGCAGGGCTGGCTGGCTCGCCGTGGCTCGCCGTGGGCGGCACTGGCGCGGTGGGCGGCGCCCCGGGACCGCGCCGGCGCCCGCTCAATTTCTCATCCCCTGTCTGCTGTCCCCGCGAGGCCCGCGACGTCCGGCGCTGGCCGAGGCTGGCCGGCCCCCACCGCCGTGACCCCCTATCGCGTGGTGGGGGCGCCCGGTGGGGGCGGTCGAAGGCGATCGGGTATTGGCAGCGGCCAGCGGCGGCAGCGGCCAGAGGAGAGGGGAGCGCCGTGGGGCCGCCGGGCCGCGCAGCGTGGAGCCCCACCCTCGGACCGGACCGCCGTTCGGACCTTCAAACCTGTTCTAGCACTGGAGCGGCTGGGGCACTGGAGGCTGCTCCGATTGGCTATCGGAAAGCGATTACCCGTCCGGGCGGCTCCAGCCAGCCTCCAGCCAGCGGCAGTGCCCCAGACAAACCGGTCCAGCTGCACGGGCTGCACCGACGGCCGGGTATCGGACATCGAACATCGGAATGCGCTACGCCGAGACATCGGTATTGGTGTCGATGCGAGGCGGCGAGGCGGCCAGGCGGCCAACCGGTTCCAGCCCGTCCCCACTATCGGGGCCGTGCTCGAGTCGCGTGAAACAGTTGGGTCGTTCTAAACACGAGGGAAGAACAGCCTCCCACGCCATTGAACAAAATTTGAAAATTTCCACATTCAGGTGGAAAAACCGAGTATAAGTAGGCAACGCAACATGTGAGGTGAATTCGCCAGAAATCACAATCATCGCACACAAAAATATTTTTGGGTTACCTCTCGTTCGAACGATACACACACATGTTTCCGTTTTGCACAGACCATTGTTCCAGCTCCGCCTCGAAACCAAGCCTTCTCAGGCTGGAATATGAAATGTCTTGAAATTCTAAGCAGATCTCCCAAGTGAAGAAGTAGCTCGAAAAATATCCATCCGATGGCGACTCTTGCATATGCAAACTGAAGTGTGTACATAGTACACTCTTATTAGAGCATGCTTCCAAGTACACTCTTATTTACAGCATACTTGCTAGGCACGCGGTAAAATAGAGTGTGTCTGGCAAGTACACGCTAAATGAGTGAGTACCTTGCAAGTACACGCTAAAAAAACACTCGATTAGTCCTATCTAAAAGCATGGGCCACCCTAAGAGTACTTGCCAAGGTACACTCTTGTTTAGCGTGTACATGCAATGTACACTCTATTTTAGAGTGTACTTGGAAGCATGCTCTAATAAGAGTGTACTGTACACACTTCAGTTTGCAGAGTGAACCACACGCCCTCCAACCCGCTGGGTGGTTCGCAAAGGGTAGCGCCTCTCGCAGAGCGGGGCGTTGGCTGGCAGTCGGTGACTGGCAGCCGATAGCCAATTGCGGGCCAGCACGGTGAAAGGCGAGCCCCCTCCGCTCCGCCGCCGGGCCGTGCCGAGCCGCGCCGGCGCGACGGGGCCTTCGATAGCTTTCCAATACCCAATCGGAGCGGGCGGCTGGGGCCGAGCGGCGCGGCCCTGCCCCCACCAGGCGCCCCCTCCCACCTCTCTCTCTCCCTCTCTCTCTCTCTCTCTCTCTCTCTCTCTCTCTCTCTCTCTCTCTCTCTCTCTCTCTCTCTCTCTCTCTCTCTCTCTCTCTCTCTCTCATTCTCGTATAGAGGCTTATTGCCCGGTTCAATTTTTTCCGTGCAGTGCCCATGGAGGTGCATGGAGGGGCATGGAGGGGCATGGAGGCAGGAAGCGAAGGGGAATAATGGCGAGGAGTGGCAAGGAGGGCGGAAGCAGTAGAGAGGTCTGGGAGGTGACTGAGACCGGTGCTGGAGGCAGAGGCCGGGCAAGGGCGGTGGCAGGCAGGCAGCAGCCAGGCAGGGCAGGCAGCCAGGCAGGCAGCAGGGCAGGCAGGCAGGCAGGCAGCCAGGCAGGCAGGCAGGCAGGCAGCCCAGCCGAGCGGCCAGGCCGAGCAGCCGGCCCTGCGAAACTCTCCGCCAAGACAAGACACTCTTCCCTTTTCTCTTCCGCCTTTCTTCCTTCCCCTATTTTTATTTTTTCTATCGAACCGCCGCGCGCCCTGCCGCCCCCTCGGCCGCCCCCTCCCTCGTGGACCCCATCCATCTCGTAAAGTTGCCGAAGTTGTGTACTATATTGCGGGGAAGCCAGAGGTCTCGCTCAGTCCGCGGGGGTGCCGACGCCCCCCGTCGCTACCCCCTGCCGCCCTGCAGACTGGTTCCGAGAGTCGTCGCTCTGTCTCTCTCGCACCTACCGGCCGCCCCATGAGTGCGAGAGAGACAGCGACGACAGCGACTCGGAATCAGTGTGCTGCCTGGCGCCCCGTCGACCTCATGAACTGCTTTGGCTGCGCGGCGGTTTGTTTCCACCTGTCGTTTCTCCTGCAGCGGCTGACTGGACGGGGATGGGGAAAAAACTGGCGAGACGGTGCGGGTATTCGAACCCGCGGCGGAGAGGGACCGTCACAAAGTGCTGGCCATGGGGATGACGGTGACAAGGAGGAGGATCAGTGGGAGGGGTATCACGGCCAGTTCATCCACTGCTGGCCTAGGTGGCAAGAAGCACTCCGATGCCGAAGCGGGGCGGGGCGGGGCGGGGCGGGCGGGGTAGGTAACGCGCGAGCGCCAAGCCACGCAACTGCCTCGCAAGGGCTGCGAGTTGCCGTGGTTCCGGCCGGACCGGTCGTCGAGACGTTAGCGGTAACAAACAGCCCTACCGGGCAGTAGCGCCGCCAGCGCCGCCGGGGCACGGCAAGGCGGGGCGGCGAGGCAGCCTGTATCCGAATCGCATCCCTGCTACATTGACTGTGAAATAGCAAGAAGCGGCCGGTACGGTCGGCGGGCGGGGCGGGGCGGGCGAGGCGGGGCCCGCAGCCCCCTCTGCAGCAGGCCGCACCACCGCGACGGAGGGACGGCGCGTCAGGTGGACGGAATCCGACGGAATCACAGTGGAGTGGACACACTGAAGACACTACAGTTTCAAGCTCATCAAAGGTTGAACGGGAACGGCGCATCGTCCTCGTGTTTCGTTAACGTCCCTCCACATTTTTCCCCAAATGTGTTTGTCTAGTGTACCGGCGATCCCCTATACTCAGTGCTGCGACTGGCTCCACCACTGGTAGAGAGTTCTGCCATCTATCTCCGGGAGGGGCGTGGCGGGGCGGGGCGGCGCGCGCGGTCGGGCAGCAGCCCACCTGGAACCCTTTCTTGCCTCGGGGCGCCGCGGCCACGGCCATGAAGGGCCGGGCCGTCTTGAGGCGATCTTGTGGGGCGCGGCGGTGCGCGGCGGCCCGGCGTGGCGGTGCGGTGCGGCCCTCGGGGAGGGATAGCCCCTGCCTTCCCGGCGTCCCGGCCGTCCCTCTCGGAGTCTCGGACAAGACAAAGTGTTTAGAGTAGCGAGCAGCGCGCAGCAAAGACACGGCAAAGGGTTGATGCGCGGCCGCGCCGCGGATCCGCCCACAGCCCGACCGCGATGCGCATCCGGCACGGCACGGCACGCCGCACAGTGGGCCAGAAGACCGGTGGAGGCGGTCAAAATCCCGGACGCGTTTTGAGCTCCAGAGTCGCCAAATCGGACTCGAACCGAACGTGTGACCCCACCAATGGATTGCTCTCCGAACGAGGAATCCATTGGTGGGGTCACACGTTCGATTCGGAGCGACTCTGGAGCTCAAAACGCGTCCGGTATTTTGACCGCCTCCACCGGTCTTCTGGCCCACTGTGCGCCGCGCTCGAACAAATCGCGAATACCCCGCGCGCGAACGGCCTCACCCGCCGCAGCGGGGAGTATCGCCGGAATAACGCGTCGCATGCGGGTCGGCGTTCCCGCTCCCCCTCCCCCTCCCTTAGTTCGCAATCCCGCGATGAGCTAACCTGGCTCGAGACCCTCCCGTCCCGCAGTCCCGCCGCGTGGCGTGTGTTCGTCTTGTTGGCCTAATGGCACCGTTTCATTGTCTCGAGGAGCCTCCCCTGCTCGGCCCGTCTAAAAGGGCAATCGGTCAGACGATCGAGAAGGTGAAGCAGTGCCTCACCGTGGCGGCCGTGGCGGTCGTGAGGGGCCGCACGCCACCGCGAGAGATGGATGAAGTTGGGCCCCTCCCTGCCCAGTCGTCTTCGTCGCTCTGTCTCTCTCGCACTCACGGGGCGTCCCGCAAGCCCCGCACAGGTGCGAGGGAGACAGAACGACGAGAACGACCCTCGGAATCGGCCTCGCTACGAGCGGTCGGCGCTCATTACGTAAGAGAGGTTAGAATCGCACGAGCGAGAAGTCGAAATGAACTGGAAAGTGCTTGGAGCCATTCGGGCCTTCGGGCTCCGCGGAGAGGAGGGGAAATTGATTCGGAAAGGCCGGAGACTAATGCCGCGGCCAATGAGGAAGAAGCACGGCACACTGTTGGCTGCACTGGCCGCTCGCCCCGCGTTTCGGAGGTTGGCAGCGCTGCTAGTGTCGCCCGCTGTCTGTTGTTGTTGTTTGTTGTTTTGCCGCCGCGCCGGCCGGGCGGGTATGTACGTGTCGTTTGTGTCCGCTCTCGTCTGTGGCGCCGGTACCGATCGACTGTGTCTACGTACCTTTGTGTTTACCGTTTGTTTGTTCTGTGTCCGAGTTTCAAGTGACGCGTTGCTTGACAGTGTGCGTGTGAGTGTGCCGCGAAAGAACCCAATGCTGCGACAATGCGTGACGTTTTCGGTGAGTTTTGTCACCGATATTTGAGGTTCGTACTCTTGGCAGTTGATAAGTCGTGTCACAGGCAATACTTCAGAAAATGCGTTTGCCAGTGGAGGCGCGGCGCGGCGTTGGTGACCTTGATTTTGGTTAGGATTGTCAGTCTGTGTTTGCGCGAATGCTAGCCGAGCGCGACAGCGCGCCTTTGGATGAGAAAGGGGAGGGGGTGGGGCGTCGCCAGGCGGCGCGGGGAAACTAAATGACACCGCCAGAGGTCGCCGTCGAGGTCTCGGACGCAGCCACCTCGCAAACATCTTCTCGATCAGACGCGACAAACAACTTGTTTTCCGGAAGGCCCTCGCCTTGCCCTCGCCCCGCGGCCCCGCCGCCCTGCGCTCTCGCCCTTGGCGCCATCCTGCAGACCGAGAGTCGCTTTCGTCGCTCTGTCTCTCTCGCACCTGCACGGGACGACTAATGAATGCGAGAGAGACAGAGCGACGAAAACGACACTCGGCATCAGTCTGCTGCCCCTGCATCTTCGCCCCTCGGCAGGCGGAAGTAGAATGACCAGGGGCGCGGCGGGCAGGGGGGATCCGCCGGTCATTTTCCGTGGCTCTGGGGATGGGCCGGCCGGCCCGACGGTCTAGGCGGCCTTGACCCGCCCAGCGGACGCCAGAGTCATTTCCCTGTTTTTACGCGCAATTTTACAGCCCTGCTCCGGCCCCAGGATGACCGCCGCTGACCCTGGCGGGGCCTGGCGGCCTGGCGGCGTTGGCGTTCGGCTGGTTCGGGCAGCTGCGGCGCGCGGACGCTGCGGACGCCGCGGCGTCGGCCGGACAGCGAGCCACCCCCTCTCCTGGGCGACGGGGTGGACGGGGTGACGCATGCTCAGCGCCGCTGCGTCCGAAGGGCTTTCCCGTTTGTTTTCTTCGCCGACGTCATGGACGCCCTCCTCTCTGTCGCCGTCCGTCCATTCGTGTCTCCTCCCCGCCGCCACCCTCGCCGCCGGCGCTGTACCTCACTCTCCCGCCGCGCTCTTCCATCTTGCTCTCCTTCGCCTCCCCCTTCGCGTCGCCCTGGGGCCGCGTTGCCCCTTCCGAGCCCCCGCCGCCCGCCCCGCCCCCCGCGCGGCCCCCACAGCGAGTGCTTTTTACCCCTCCGCCACGCGCCGCCCCCCTGCCCCCGGCAGCCCCCGGCAGCCCCCGGCAGCCCCGGGTTGACATGTGGGATCAATAGAGCCCAGGAAAGAGAGTCGGGGATCACAGAGAGTCGGGGCGGGGCGGGGTGGCGGGCGGGGTGGCAGGGCGGGGCGGGGTGCGGCGGGCGGCAAGGAGGATTGCCGAGTGGGGCTGCCCGGGGCTGCCCTGCCTCCGCGATGCGCTGCTTGTCTCGAGATGCCCCTGCACTCCCCCGCCCACCTGTCACATGTCGTCCCTCGGCGTCGCCGTCGCCTCCTGCACGGGGGTGGCCGTCGTTCCCTGTAAGGTTGGGCGTGGTGGCCGCCGTCCTGGGGCGGTTGATGTCCTGGGGTGGCCGTCGAACTTGGTGGTTGCGGCCATGGTGGCCGTCAAGCTGAGGAAGGTCATGGTGGCCGTGAACCTCTGGCCATGGTGGCCGTTGTCCTTTGGTCGATCAAGGTGGCCGTCAACCACTTGCTTTGGTGGCCGTCAACCTCTGGCCATGGTGGCTGTCGGTCGTCCTCTGGCGGTTGATGTCGTCGTCCGGGGTGGTCGTCGAACTCGATGGCCGACGCCCATGTCGTTGCTCCTCCCCCACGACGCCGTGCGTTGCGGCCGCAGGTGCATTCGCGCGGAAAGGTAACATTTTTGAGGCTATTGTGCTCGGATTCCGTTTGAAGCACCAAAATGTGTGGCGCCCCCTCCTCGGGCCGCCCCGGGGCTCGGCGGCCGCGCTGCGCGGCGCTGCGCCGCGACGCCGTGTCACAGTGTGTCGCTCAGAATGAGTGGCGCAGAACAGCAGCGACCCTCAATTGTTTCCCCGGACTTCTCGCGGGTCGTTTTAAAAGGAGGTAGAGAGAGAAAAACAAAAAGAGGCAAAAAATGGGATTGTACGCAAATGAAACCGTCGCCGTGCAGCGCCGGCCCGCTACACTGCGTGCTCAGGCCGCCGAGGGCCCAGGGGCCGTGGGGCCGTGGGGGTGGCGCCGGGTGGCGCGCGGAACAATGAACGCCGAACTAAATCCAAAGGAACCACTTGCGGGCGCCCGTTGCACAGTGGGCCAGAAGACCGGTAGAGGCGGTCAAAATCCCGGACGCGTTTTGAGATCCAGAGTCGCTAAATCGGACTCGAATCGAACGTGTGACCCCACCAATGGATTGCTCTCCGAACGAGGAATCCATTGGTGGGGTCACACGTTCAGTTCGACGCCTGCAAAGCGACTCTGGAGCTCAAAACGCGTCGGGAATTTTGGCCGCCTCCACCGGTCTTCTCGCTGTCACGTTTCGCAGTGCAGGGCAAAGCGCGGCGAAGCAGCGTTTGCGGTCCAGCCGCTCAAGTTCAAGCCCTCGCGCCCTGCAGGTAGGCAACCCAACCGCCTTTCCCTAGATCAGCGGTTCTCAACCTTTCTCGGCTCGCGACCCCAAATTTGTAGCCAAAAATTTCCGCGACCCCCAGGAAAAGTTTTGCGAAACCCCCCGGGACCCCCCCTTTAGCATGCCACTGCGTCTGATCCGAGGCGGGCATTTTGCTCCCTCAACGAGCAATTGGGCTTTGGACCTTCCTTTTGCATGCCTCTGTTACGGAGTGCGATTATCAGTCTTAGTTTGGGAGCAGTATTGTCTCAAAATTGGCCAAAACGCTCAGAAATGTCTTTAAAAAATCATGTTTGGGTCGATTTTAAGCATCCACTGCGTCTGATTCAAGGCGGGCATTTTGCTCCCTCAACGGGCAATTGTTCCTTGGACCTTCCTTTAGCATGCCTCTGTTACGGAATGCGATTATCAGTCTTTGTTTGGGAGCAGTATTGTCTCAAAGTTGACCAAAACAGGGACAACGATTTTTTTAAAGACATTTCTGAGCGTTTCGGCCAAATTTGAGACAATACTGCTCCCAAACTAAGACTGATAATCACACTCCGTAACAAAGGCATGCTAAAAGAAGGTCCAAAGACCAATTGCCCGTTGAGGGGGCAAAATGCCCGCCTCGGATCAGACGCAGTGGCTGCTTAAAATCGACCCAAAACATGATTTTTTAAAGACATTTCCGAGCGTTTTGGCCAACTTTGAGACAATACTGCTCCCAAACTAAGACTGATAATCGCACTCCGTAACAAAGGCATGCTAAAAGAAGGTCCAAAGACCAATTGCCCGTTGAGGGAGCAAAATGCCCGCCTCGGATCAGACGCAGTGGCTGCTTAAAATCGACCCAAAACATGATTTTTTAAAGACATTTCTGAGCGTTTTGGCCAACTTTGAGACAATACTGCTCCCAAACTAAGACTGATAATCGCGCTCCGTAACAGAGGCATGCTAAAGGAAGGTCCAAAGACCAATTGCCCGTTGAGGGAGCAAAATGCCCGCCTCGGATCAGACGCAGTGGCTGCTTAAAATCGGCCAAAAACACGACCCCAGCTACCTCGCCGCGAACCCTTAAAATTTTTTCGCCACCCCACTTGGGGTCGCGACCCTAAGGTTGAGAACCACTGCCCTAGATGTCTTGATCTTCAGACTGATTCCAAGAGTCATTTCCCTCGCTCTGTCTCTCTCGCACTCGTGAGGCATCCCGTCAAGGTGTGAGAGGGACAGAGCGACGAAAACGACTCTCGGAATCAGTCGACTGGGCTGGCCCTTGCCGTGGCCCTTCGGTCCAGCGGGTCCAGCGGGCTGCGGCGTGCCGGCCCTGGGGCCCTGGGGCCCTTGGGCCTGGACTGCTGCCCTTGGGCCCTTGGCCCTTTCCTTGCTGGGAACAGGCGGCGGAGGGCTGGGGCGCTGCAGTGGTGGCGCCACTCCGGTGAAGCAGGGCCAAGCAGGGCGGCCCCTTCACCTGCCGTGCCATTTCGACTTGAATATTTTCTCGTCTTGTGAACAGGCTGCAAATTGATGGCGCATCTCCCCGCCGCCCCCTTGCCGCCCCCCACCAATCGCACCCCCCACCCCCACCCGGCCCCTTCACCTCCCACTCGAGAGAGAGCGTCTTTTCTTTCCAGCGGCGCCCCGTTCTCCCCGTTTGTTATATTTTATTGTTCGCGACCACTTCTGCTGCTCGGTATTGACCTCGCTGCCGCCCCGCCCCGCCGCGCCCCGCCCCGCCCCGCCCCACCTCACCCCACCCCGCCCCGCACAGCGCGCTGGCTGCCTATCTCCCAGGCTATACCCGATCCTTACTCCCCGCCTCCTTTTTTCCCTCCATTCTCTCTCTCTCTCTTTCTGCGTTTGGCTTTCTTATTATTTTCGAGATGATAGAAGCGCGCGGGTCGTGTCTTCGTGTATTTTCCGTCCAATATGGCGGCGGCGCGCGCGGGGCTCGACAACGCGCAGATGTCCGTGGCGTCCCCTAATTTTTCCCCTCGGTTCCCGCTCCTTTTCCCGCATTTTTTTTTCGGTCCCCTTTCTCTTCGTGTGTACCCTCTCTCTCCCCGCGATGCCAGAATCAGACCGCTGCGCTCCGATGGCGGCAGGGCAGGGCGGCCGGGCGGCCATGGCGGAATGGCCTTGTTTTGTTTTCTGGCGATAAGGTGCTCTACCTATGGCGGTCGCCGCGGAGGTCGTCGGGGAGGTGGCGGTCCCGGGTGCCCGATGGAGGTCGCACAGTGTGCCAGAAGACCGGTGGAGGCGGCCAAAACTCTCGACGCGTTTTGAGCTCCAGAGTCGCTAAAGAGGACACGAACCGAACGTTTGACCCCATCAATAGATTCCGCGTTCGGAGAGCAATCCATTGGTGGGGTCACGAGTTCGGTTCGAGTCCCATTGAGCGACTCTGGAGCTCAAAACGCGTCCGGGGTTTTCACGGCCTCCACCGGTCTTCTAGCCCACTGTGCGTTGGCGTCGCAGGGCGGGGCGCGGAGC